TTACGAATAGCATCCTGGGAAGGCTCATTCTAAAGAGAAACGTAAAATTATTGCTGTTGTGATGACGAAGAACTTGTAAACTGAAACCTTCAGCGTAGTTCTTTTGATGTACCAAAACAGCAAAAGCTAAATAAAATAATTCAACTTGTAATAAATTAAATAAAAAAATAATTCAACTTGTAATAAAATACCGTAAAAATTTATAGAAAAAAATACAAGTAACATGAAAACACCAAAACACGGACTTTGACAGATTTCACTTGGTAGACATGGTAGACTTCACACGCTGTGATTGGCTGTTCAAAATAAAGAGAATGGAATTTTTATCCTGGATGAGCGGCCGTTAGGCGGGAAGAGACCTGGGAACGAGCCTCATAAAGGCTTCGAGAGGAGTTTGTATAGAATCTCAACCTGTATCCCTTTTTATGGAATAGAAAACTTTTCGAAAATCAGCAAAGCAGAGTGCTCAACCTCCTCATCTCTTCGAGAATACGTTTTAGTAATTATAGTATATTTGAGCAATGGAGGGCCTGTCAGCTTTRGGAATAAGAAATCAGAGTTCCCATTGCAAAAGAATTAAGAGATCTGTTTGAAGTTATTTCATAACATACAACGACTCTGCGACATCCAAACTTTAAATCATTGATATTTTATTCGGTTATATCTTATAATTACATGTAATAAAATGCATTGGCAAAGTCATTTTCAAAAATTCTGCGGACGGTTGTTCGAAGGTGGATAAAGTTATACACTCCGACTATGTTGTCCACTCCTCGGAYTTTGTATGGGATGTTGACTCTCGATGGGGATTTATCCGGTGGATAGCACTTTTCATCCTTTGTACAACCGGGCCCCTGACTGCTAACATGGCACTACATATAACATTCTATCGGGTCCCTTGTGGGTAATTTGAATATCAGAGAGGAGCCGATGGGTTCCTGGTAGAAATATATCTGTTCTTGTGTCCCAGCCAGCTGTAAGTCACAACTGGTTGCCAGCAAAGTTATAAGCATTCAGAAATATCTTTTTTAAATTATGGAGAGGAAGAGGCTCTAGGACTTTTAGGGAAAGTTTTTCCCAATTTAAAATTCTAGTTCTGAAATCACTTTCCCAGGAGAAAATTCGTTAAAGAACAGTTATTTCAAAGAACAGACCTGGTCGGCTCCTCCTTAATATCAGTTAATTTCGCACTTTTCTCCCTAATGAGAGATTGTAATCCATCAAACTACATCAAACGCTTTGCCTATTCAAACATATTGTGCAGTAGATTCACTGAGTGAAGAGCTAAGTTCTACATTGTCAGGTTAAATATAAAAACAAACGAGTCCTAATTAGTTTACACATAGCTSGCCATATGATTCCTGACCCTTTTTTATCAGATGACTACACCTACTTGCAGAAACGTTGTCATAGAAAATAGAACATTAGAATTTAGTAAAAAGGAATAAATTAAAACAAGACAAAACAAAGCGTTCAGCCTCAGTGATCTTCCTTTGTCTTTTTTTAATTTATTCCTTTTCACAAAAAAAATGTCCTATTTCCTATGACAACGTTTCTGCAAGTAGGTGTATGTTCTATGACTATGTCCCTAAAAAACACTGAAATTCAAAGAAATCAGCCCAGCTGATACATACAATTAGTTTAGTTTTTCTGCTTCTGTTCTAGCCAATAAGAAGCTACCTATAAAATTACGTGATTATAATTAATCAAATTCAATTATGTGAAGGATAACACGTTGATTTTAGACATTGTAGCCAACACCATAAGTGCTAAACGAAGTCAATTAAAAATTATGCTTTGGCCAGAAATACAACTTTTTAAGGAGTGTCTTTTGTACAACTGGAATCTGTGTTCGCGGGAGACTTGATTCTTTAATTGTCTCATACACTTCATCTTTGACTCTTGTCAACATTTCCAGAATATGCTCCTTATGTGCATGTTTCTTGAAAACGCGAACCAAGATTTGGATGAAACAGCTTCCCTCTTTCGGATGTATGAATGAAACGAAATTTTCAAGACAAGAATAAGCGTAGAGCATATTGGCCATGTCAGAATCTATGCTAACTTCAGGTGGGGACTGCACTGGTACACTGCCTGATGGCGTACTGTCTGTGTCCGAGGATCCTCTTCCCATTTGACCACGACATGCCTCTATGAAAAACAGCTTCGGTTTGTCACTAAACAACCCACAAGCTTCGTCGCAAAATATTTCAGAAACTTCTGAGATTGTGATTGGTCGTCCATCGTGTGCGTAGAATTTGTCGTCTTTTCCATGACTCATGATGCACACTGCAAGACAGTCGTAATCTTTGAAGTCAGGGTTTTCTGAGATGACATCTAGGCGATGCATAACTTCATCCTTTGGTTCGTCAAAGATGGTGCAAACTGTGAAATTCAAATATCGACCAAAAAGGTCAGTTAGTGCATCGACATCCTTTTCAGAGCCTTTGCGCTCGGTAAGCAGTATACGTCTGTAATCAACAGCAAATTTTTTGATATTAATGATGATCATCAATCCTCTTGGAGAACTTTTCATCCTGTACACATCGCTTGAGTCTGGATCGTCTTTCGGASCACTGGAATATTGCTCTGAAAGATAAAGTTACATGTCATTATATTAGAAAGGTACCATTGAACTCAAGTCAAGGCACTGATAGATAAAACAAAGGTGTTAAAAATAATCGAGGCCGGACAATTCGCCTACCATTGTTGACTTCACTGTTGCGGCGTCTTTCGGGTCCAATATTATCCTACATGAATGAAAAATGATTTGAATTAGTCAAAATACAATCTTAACGGAAGTTGAACGTCAAATAGGTCATATCTCAAATTGTTGATGCAGAAAACCATACTATGCTAGTTCGCTATACCATGGTATGGCAAGTTATCATTTGATCTCTTACCTCATTAGGACTTGCAAGTTGTCTCTCATAGACAGTGAGCTCACCAATCTTTCTGCTATCTTTTTTTGAATAAAATTTTATTTCGGCGGTTTTGTTTGTTTTCTCAGTGTCAAAATTTATCTTCTTGAGATTCAGCTCTTTTTCACAAGGAGCGTCTTTTCTCAACCTTAAGAGCAATGATTTGTATGTATGAAATTTGTTGAACTAAATATATATTGAATCTAACATATGGAGGACATCACATGAGCGGGCACAGTGCAGTGATGCCATTGTTAATAGAGGAGAGTAAATTTAGTCCAAGACTGCAAACACTTACTTGAAAATGAGGTTTCCGTTTTGAGATTCAAAGTCCCCTTCAACTTTTATAGAGGCTTCGTCATTTTCTTTCATTAAGGATATATCGCTTGCCAGTTCATCATACACCTCTTTTGGATACCCTTCAAAAAACAAACCGCATAAATTTTATAATATAAAGATGTAAAAGACGCAAAGTTTTATGGGTACATCCTTCGCAGACGTCTTACTGTCAAATACACTAATCCTTCACTGAGCAACACAAGACGTCTACATCGACAGATAAGTGCCATGACTAATGTGGCTAAATAAKTTTGACTATTGCATGAAAAAGCAAATCGCAGTTGCATCAAGTGAAGATAATTGTTTGGACCCTAATACTGCARTTTAGAAATTTTCTTTATGCAGACTTACTTTCAATTACATATAATTTTTTATTGAGTGACTTCTTTACACAACCATAGTCGTACCTTGATAAAAGAAATTGTTACCCGCTTCTGAGAAGGTTACTGCGTTAGTGAAATWTCCGACAAAACTAATGTTGAGGTGAAATAGAGTAGCTTACATTTTTTTAGACAGTCTTTCACCATGTGCCAAGGCAGACATGAAAGTGTTAGCTTGAAGTAATCCGAACAGTCTCCAAGATTCTTCAGTTTGTGAGCGACAAAACGAATGCTTTGAGGTGTAGCACTTCACCATTTGCAAAAAGCGTAAAGGGAAAGACCAATCAACGGTGGTCCGATCGCCAGCACCAAACTATAGAAAGACATAATTATTATGTAGCTATAAGAAATGCAGCTATTTGCAATAATTCTGACCCACCTACGCTAATATCCATATATATCAAAGTAGCCTTAGAAGCACAGGAGAAGTCACACAGTAGAAGTCAACGATTTTTGAATTGCGGTAATTAACTTATTGACTTACTAGCTAAAATGGTTGATACGTATCTCAATCMTTGATTCGCTCATTTCCGAGTACTGCACGCTTTCCGTGATATCATTCCACTGGTTGTCCTTGAAACACATCACGTGTAYTTYCTCCGAAAGACRTTTAGAAGGACAAGGRTGAGGCAGAGTTAAGATAGCGGCCTTRGATAAAGTGAYMCCMTCGAAGCCATCGACAATTATCATGGGTGAAAGTTGTACATTCGCCATGTCTTTGGGTAGCGTACTAGGTGGTGGAAGYACCTTATAATTGAAACAGTGGCATTAAAAATATTTTATCATCAAAATGGCAAAGCTTTGAAACATGAGTATACTGAAGAATGGATAGTACTTATTAAACGTCGGTATTTTTCTTACAATTTAATGCCTATCAATGCTTAATCATATCATATGGTGCTTTTGTCCAAACCTTTAAACTTCCCTTTATGGGTTTATTAACAGCTCCTTCAAGAAACTCCAGTGTGACGTCTTGACATACGGAAGACCTGACAACATTTCCGCTCTCAGGGACCTTGAATGAGTCTGTRAYKAGTCTRGAAACCACTGTTACTGCAGTCAGTTTGGTCAGTCGGACTTGAATGAAATTTGTTGAACTGTCTTCAGGGGGGAGCAGCGATTTGTCTTCGACTTCTATAGTTGTTTTGTTAGGAAAATGAGTATGATATACTATGTATRCAATAAATCGAATAAGGCTAATACATGTCCATGAATACTGCTAGTGAACCCGGAATCGCATCATGAAAGRTAAAAGCAACAAAAGAGCTAACTGCAACCGACAAGAATTGACCTAACACGTTATCATACATCGTATACAACTGCACAGCTTAACAACAGAAACTACTACATAGCTTTTGGAGCACCGTGACTGAAGAAGAAATTGTGAAAAGAATGTGTTCTCTTTTATTGATGAATTTAAATTTGCATTTCAATTTTAGAAGCTCTCTTACCTTGCAGTTCTTTCCATTTTTGCGTGTTTGCATCAAACGCCATTACAATGTTTTCATATYCAGGTACTCCTACAGGTCCAGAGTGCACTAGCGTGACAGTGACAGGTTTTTGAAGAATTGTATCAGTCGGTCCTAGTGCTATKATGAAGCTCACAACAGCCTCCATGTCTTTAGCTGGAGAAGAGATKGTATCTTCTAGACGTAGATGGTTGACAATTAAACGATGCGTCTCGTTAAAGGTATCTCCTGGAACGTRAAGGAGGAAGCCGTGGCTAAAAACATCGAACCATCCACCTCGCTCGTCTCTGTGTTCATCAGYAAGAAAACAGAAAAAATTGGCATTACATTGCAATTACTAAACAGAAGTACATAACCATGGTTATGTACTTCTGCTAAAAAGTATGCACTTTGGCGTACTTACACCAAAAATAGTTTCTGGTCCAATTTCATAGGCTGCTCTATAGCGAGCAGTTTCTCCTGCAATGTGGAACTTTCCCCAAATGATCTGTTTTAAACAAACAGGAAAATACTATCATATCCCTTTTTCCAGTAAAAAACGGGATTTTTTTCATTTGATCATTTAAAGAGTTTGGGTCTATTTCAGTCTCAGGATCAGTTCCGATTGAAAATAAAACTTTCAAACAGTTAATTTTAATTTCATTGTGCCGATTATACCCTGGTCAGCAATAGTTAACTTTAATTTCATTGGATTAYACCCTGGTCGTTTCCTGTATTTGTGAACATTTTTTCCGCTCATTTGGTCATGTGAAGGCAAGTTGTGCAGGTTTGCCAGCCTGATCTATTTGCACTGATTGCYTGTTTTCCTMACAAGGAAGAAGCTAGCTATCTTATTATGGTGTACTTACTGTGCCTTGATGTCACTTGCTTTTTCTRAAGATTCCAAATTCTGTAATGATCATTGAAAAAGTAAGTTGTTTTCGTTAGTTCCTTAAAAAAAGACTACACTTAAATTATTTACCTCATGTATTCCTTTTATCGCTTGTCTACCAAAATTGATCGTTGGCCAGAAATACAGTTTTTTACGAAGTGTTGAATTTGGAGCTGGTGTTAGTATCCWGTAAGGAAACCTATGTACATTGCGTRATTTTCTGTTAACTCTTGTCATCATGCGCATAATATCCTCCTTGTCTGCATATTTTCTGAAAACAGAAACCAAGTTTTGGATRAAATTACGTTCTTCTTTCATTCTTTTTWTCTTTTTACCAAATGACATGTTTTTCCCCATTCGTCGGTATGGGGTGTCAAAACTCGAGGAGTAAGCGATGAGCAYGTCTACTGTATCRAGATATTTGCTCTTTGCTGATGATCCTTGTTCATTAATCTTTGCAAAATCGARAAATTCAAAGAACCCACTTCTCCTTTCGCTCTGAGATACGGAACAAGCAAWAAACGRACTATGACATAATTGTACGAAAAATAGTTTTGGTTTGTTGCGAAAAACCTCACAGTTCGAGTTGGAGAACATGTTACAAACAGCTGAGACATTGATTGTGTTTCCATCGTGTGCGTAGAATACGTCGACGTCGTTTTCGTGTCCTGGACTCATGATGCATACTGCAAGACAGTCGTAATCTTTGTAGGCAGAGTTTTCAGCAAACCTTCGCAGTTCTACCAAAAGTTCATTTCTTGGTTTGTCTATGATGGTACAAACTTTGAAATTCAAATATCTGCTGAAAAGGTCAGCTAGATCATTAACACCTTTTTCAGATCCGTTTCGCTCGATTAATTTTCTTTCAAGCTGTTCTTTATCCTTATGTGTAGGGTCTACAAATTTCTTGATGTTAACGATGACCATCAATCCTCTGGGGTTACTTTTCATCCTGTAAACATCGCTTGAATCTGGATCGTCTAGAATAGACACATCGCTTATTGAATCTGGATCGTCGCTTGAATCTGGATCGTCGCTTGAATCTGGATCGTCGCTTGAATCTGGATCGTCGCTTGAATCTGGATCGTCTAGAATGGAATGGAATTGAATGGAAGTGTGTTTTTTAAAGTGCACTTTAAATAAAGTTTTGAATAATGGAATCTGGAGGCTGTCGTTGTTACGCGTCACTCTGTTGTGAATATTATTTGATCTCCGTATGGTTACATGCCCAAAAAAGGGGAAATTTGGACCCATTTATATTCTCTCCGAAAGTAAGAACTTGAATGTATCATCATGTCATGTATGAAAGATTGCTCCTGTACATTTTATTTGATATACAGTCACTCTGATCATCCCATCTGGCGACGATAATCCTTAGCGTTAAAACAATAGAACGTAACGTTTTCATGTCAGTTCATAATGAAATAGGGCAATTAAGGTCGATCAAAAGCTACACAGACTGCTACATAAGTGTAAGCAAAGCTCTTCAAAGGAATATTACAAAAATGAAGGGGCTGCCGGTAAGAATACAACATGATATACAAGCCAAAATAACATGTTGTAGAGACAGCTTCCAGTTCACAGGTAATCCAGGCAAGACATTTGTTCAATTACATTTGTTTTATTACTTGAAATAGTAATGGTTCAGTGTTCCTATCGATTTTTCAAAAAAAAAATCGATTGCATGCCTGACATTTAGTTAAAAAAATGATGAAAAATCGATTGCCTTCCCACTTATCATTTTTTAAAGCTCAAAAAATGTTATTTTGAACATCTTTTTGCATTGTCAAGTAATGCTCATAGATTCACTGCATAAACGTTTCTAGAAAACTTACTTTCTAGGTTCCCACTAATTGGCGAAARTGCACGGCCGCCTCGGCCGCCTCCAAATCCATAGAGATAGGGTGTTTCCTGATAGTCTTCCGAATGAACTGGAACTTTTATCTTGACAGCACCTGCATAAAGCGCTTGTAACAAAAATGATAAATAAGTATAGAAAATATCCAATTTTTTGTAAAGAAATAAGCCAGAGGGCTAAATTAACTAATAAGTTTTCTAGTTTAGTACCATGGTTCCAGAGGCTTGTCTTTTATTCTTTTGCTTACTATGTTATCGAGCCGCGAAGCAGAGAGACGCTTCCGTTAATCGGTTTGGGTTTTTTTGCTAACGCTTGTGACCAGAGGCTTGGCGTAAAAACAAACCGATTAACGGAAACATCTCGCTGCTTCGCGGCTCGATAACATAGTAAGCAAAATAATAGAAGACAAGCCTCTGGAACCATGGTAGTCGTTTAGTGTTACATTGGTAATTACAGGTAAGGAGAAAAACAATAAAACATAAGGTAAAGAGAATATACAATTACTTACACAATAGTTAAAAATTATATGGAAGATAGGAATACAAAAAGACGTAAACAATAGAGTACTAAAGTGTGATGTTACAGAAATATTATTTTTCGGCTTCGTTGATATATCCTTAAAGCGCATGGAAAAAAGGAGCTAGTGTGTCCTAGAGCCATTTATAGTGTAATATTCTTCCCCGGGTATTGTTATTCATGAGATAGAGATAAGGAATGGGATAGCGATGGCCTGGGACACGCCTAGGCCAAAGCGAGAAGTAAAAACTTGTAGCAAGGCAATTCAAACCCGGCTTCCTTGGATGAAGACGATGTTCTTTCGCGGCTGCCTCGGGTAGAGTGACACAAAGGAGACCTTGGAACACCTTTTATTATCTCATTTGCATAATCCCCAGGGAATCAAAATAATACTCTGATTTTTACCGTAAGATATTCTATGTCATCACTGGCTTCATTTAGTCTCCATTTCCATGCAAGTAAGCCAAACCATTGAGTTCATTCTCCCTTTGACAATCGCCGTTCGCCGTTCTCCCCGACAACGTTTTTTGAAATAAGTGTATTTAACAAGGATGCATTAAAAATGATGCACTTTCAGAGAAATGGAATTTCAAAACTCAAACATTTCCGTTTTGTGACGTCATCACTTTAGTACTCTATAATTAACATACTGAGCTTCACTTTTTGTTTCGGCCCCTCAGGCCGAAACGCTACTAAGATCAGTTTGCAAACCCATAATTTYTTGTCTCCTCTGTCAATCATCTTACAGTTCAGCGAATCAGATTCCTCGTAATCAGCATTAGCCTATCACATATCGAGAATGAACTTTCTGTTTCGTAATTCATCACGGCGATAGAATGTGATCTTGATATTCATTCAAAGTATCAAAATAGCAATTCTTATCTCAAATATAAGTGTGAGCTACTCATCTCAGGTCCATCGAACTCTCGATTTGAATGAAAACCTTCCAGGACATTGTACTTTTTAGTACGAACTGACGATTCCGGTGATTACGTTTCACCGACTTCACATGTTTTATAGCTAGCCGTAGCATTGTAGATCGTTCGCATTACGGAAACCGTATTTTGTATTATCACTGAAATCCTATTTTTCAAAGACTTGAAATCATATTTGTAAAAGAACTAGCTACTTGAGAAGTAGTCGTAAACAGACGTGATATTGAAGAGGAATGACTCGTACAACTTAGTTAGTCGGCCATGTACTCAAAGCCTACTTTAATGCGCATGCTTAATCATGTACACAGGGAGCCCATAGTATTACAATATTTACGCTTACATAACGTCCATAGACATGCACTAACTTCGTATTGCTTTCACCGTGCCACTATTTATTAAACTGATCGAGTTCGCTCTATGTTTACATCTGATAAAATTTATGAGTTAATTACGCACTCCACACGGATAGCGTTGCGTAACAGCAGAGGACAGTTGCTTTAGGAGTTTACAACGGGTACTATGACTGAATTATAAAAAAGGTTTGTTCCTGGAGCAAATCGAAACAATAAATATCCAGTTTTTTTCAAAACAACAATCATGCACGAGGCATTGTAACCTGATTTCAACGAGCCTTCCTCCCACAAGCTTAAAAGGTCCGGTGTTCTTTTAGTTTATTGTTCTATTTTAAAATGCTTTTGAACTGAAATGAACTGGTTTTAGATAGTAATTTCTGTGAATTAAACTAATTTATCAAACATTTAATGTAGGTCCGTATGAAAAAAAAAACGAACACCCCCTATTTATAAGGCAGCCTATTTGTAAGGCAGCCTATTTGTAAGGCACTATTTATAGACAAAAAAAGACAAACGAAGCACTGCACTGCACTGAATTTTAGAGTGCCGAAACATCATTGCTCTTAGAGCAATATAGCCTTGTTCACTTTGCACGCGACCGACTTCAATCTTTCATATAAAATTTTCAAATGTATCCTTCATCCTTGATGAATGCCATACCATAGAAAATATTGCTATTTTTATACTCGTTCTTTTCAATGTCGGAAAGGCCAATAGTTTTGGATACCTCAACATCTGATTTTCTTATTTCTTATAGTACTCTTTCAAGTGTCTTTTCCATAGGTTATCTC